AAAAACTAGATAATGAGAGTAGTCCTGTGTCTGTTAAAGAAACTGAAATTGCCAATAAAACTTTGAAGAAAGAAATCCCTGGGTCCAGATGACTTCATTGTCAAATTATACCATATAAGGAAGAAATAATGCTATATATACTGTCTAATTAATGAGTGAACACTTCCCAACTCATTGCAGGAGGCCCATATTGTCATAATAAATCCAAACAAAGACATCTCTAGAGAAAAAAATGCTACAGATCAGTATCGTGTTGATCATATTAGCAACCAAAACCCAGCAACTTGTGCAGAAGATAATGCAGTAGAACTAAGATTGATTCCAGCCTTCAAAGTCCGAACATTTGAAAATCCACCAAGCGATGTGATTCACCATAGTAATGATGAAAGAAGAAAATTTCAAATAAATGATACAGTAAACATTTGGCAAGATTCTATTTTTACAAAACTATCATAAAACTGAATTGAAAAGAACAACACAAATTTAGCAGCTTAAAATAGTATTCTTATTTTATAGTTTCATTAGGTCACAAATCCCAGGGCCTGCTTAGGTTCTCAAAGACCTTGAATCAGAGTGCAGCAGGGCTACACCAACTTCCTAAGGCTCTGGGAAGGAATCTGCTTCCAAACTCGTTCAAAATGTCAGCTCCTTGCTGTTGAGTTGGGTTCCTGCTTTCTTGCTGGTTGTCATTTGTGAGCAAGTGTTTGCTCTCCAGCATTGCCCATATTTCTTCTCATATTTGCCGTGTTACGCCTTCTAGCAGCTCTGGTTAGGGCCCTCTCACACTACAGAAGGTTTTCTTGAACAGCCCATATGATTAAATTGGACCCACCTAAGACAATTCAGAATAGTTTCCCTCTATTAAGTTCTATAACCTGTTTAAAGCTGCAAAGCCCCTGTTAACTCTGTATCAGTTACAGCATCCAGGGATCTGGCCATGCACATCTTTGTAGGGTCATTCTGCCTACCAGAGTAGCCAGTATCAACAGATTGGATAATTAGCTTTAATTAGAAAAAGTAATCATGAATTGTGGAGAAACATATATTGAAATACTTTAAATAATTTGACTATAAAATTATATCATCTATAGTTAATGTAAGCATTTTTTTGTATCCTTGAAGCAACACTGATCATACATGCTGAAGGTAATTATTTGAAACAACAGAAAGAGCTTCTCTCTGGAAGAGGATAATGAAATGAATGAGTCATTTCTCTAGTGAAAGTGTAATTGTACAATATAATCTGAATATTTGAGAGTCTAGCCAGCTGCCTTGTTTCTTGAAGTAATTTGATACCCACACTTTCCTGTAGACAGGCTAAAAAGTCCACACTAAACTTGTCACCTTTGTTTTGGACTTATTTGTTTATCACCAAGTAGCTGCAGGCTAGAATTTGTGGTTATTTTGTTGTTGTTTTGGTCTTTTTGAGACAGGGTCTCTCTGTAGCCCCAGCTGGCATGGTACTCACTATGTAGACCAGGCTGGCCTTGAACTCACAGAGATTCACCTCCCTCTGCCTCCCAAGTGCTGTTATCAAAGGCATGCGCCACCACGCCTGGCTGAATTTGTGTATTTTTTAATTGGCGTGCTAGATCTACTTGCCCACAAATACTGCAAAGAGATTGGAAGTTCCTTAAAGTCAGAGATTCTCAGTTTTTCCTGCCACCAGTGCCTAGCATAGATTGTTTTACACATATTTTCTAGAAAATGATCAAGTTTATGAACATTATAATTAATAAATATTTGTTAGACAGCCTCTGTGTAAAAATCGATCTCCAGCTGTGGACTTAGAGAAGGACCCCATGCCTTAGGCCATCACTACTTGGTCTGTGATAAATCAGACCTTTGGTTGTTATAAAATCATGGCAGTCTGCAGTTGCACTGTGGTGATATAGCATGAAGCCCAGACTATAAATTAGGTGTCTTAAGTCTTACTTTGTTACATGAATAAACAGTGGGACTTCCAGTCAACTTAATTTCTGAGCCTCAGTTTACCTATCTGTAAAATGAAAACATTAAACAAGATCTTCAGGATTTCTTCAGCTTGAAAATATATATAAACTGAGAAATTTTCTTTTAAAATAAAATGGGAAAATTGAAGCTGGGCATGGTGGTGCATGCCTTTAATCCCAGCACTCAGGAGGCAGAAGCAAGTGGATCTCTGAGTTCAAGGCCAGCCTGGTCTACATAGTGAGTTCAGACCAGCAGGGCCTACAGGGAGACCCTGTTTCAAAAAGACAAATAAATAAAATGGGAAAATTGAAGATCTAGGAACTTCAAGATTATCGATTGTATTTAATTTTTCACAATTGCTAAGTTTCAACATTCATAATTTTTAAAGTTCCATTTTTTCAGAAATTTGCTTGCTTTTATTTTGAATGCTTCTGAGAATTTTTTCCAATGCATTTATTTAGCCTTTAAATTTTCAACATGATGGCGAAAAAAATTTATATTGTAAATGCAAGCATAATTAAAGGGAGATCTGATGTGGACAAACTTGAACTTACAGATTTTCTCTTCATAAGTCAGAAGCAGGGCAAGAAAAAAAAGATCAGCCACTTGAATTTGTATATTATCTAAGTTCTGTTGTCATACTAGGAAAACAGCATTTCACTATCATAACAATTGTGGGAGGAAAGACTAAGCTGATAAGTTACCCTTTGTAAACATCAGGTAACAGTTAACCAAGTTTTCATGTGCTGTATCCATTATACCTAAAGATAAAAGGACTTTTTTCTCTTTTTAGTTAGTATTTAATTTTTACTCCAAAGTATATATGTAGTTCCAGTTAGAACTATCTTATATTTTTGGAGAAACGTATTTAAGGATCAAAATCGCACTATTCTGTGAAAGCTTAAAGCTGTATTTGATTTGAGATGTACTATATTCCTGACTCCCATTTTTGCCTTATAAAAAACTCAGTATACTATTAAATTCTTAAAGTAGTTTCTAAGATACATCATACCTTTCACAGTTAGAAGTGAGACCCAACTACCAGTTTTAAAGTAGTGCAGGCAGAGCCTTGAACATTATTTTGTTCAAGTTGCCAGAGATTTTCAAGTACTCATTTATAGGAATCCTCTTACTTTGTGGACGGAGAAATTGAGGTTTAGGGTGGCTATTTGACTTGTCCCAGCTTTTATTTCCAGTTCGTGGCAAAACCAGAACTTTGAAAACTCAAGTTGTTTAGTGTCAGCCACATGGGTTGCTTTTTTTGCATTGTTTGCTTGACAGCATTTCTTTAAAACAGAAAGGGTTAGTAGTTGATAGTTAATGGTAGAGGGTGTACCTAGCATGAATAAAGACCCTAAGTTTGGTCCCTAGCAGCAAAAAAACGGGGAAAAATTGCTGTGTACCGCCTGAACTAAGAAAAAAAAAAAAATCATACCTTAGAAAAAGTGTGATATGCCCAGAAGAGAAATAGTCAAAAATAATAGTTGATTTAATTAAAGTGTATATAACTTCATTTACTTTTATGTTTACAGGAGAGAAGAGATTTGAATGTCCAGAATGTTCTAAAAGGTTTATGCGGAGTGATCATCTTTCCAAGCATGTCAAAACACACCAGAATAAGAAAGGAGGTGGGACAGCTCTTGCCATTGTTACCTCGGGAGAACTGGACTCATCTGTCACAGAGGTGCTTGGCTCCCCACGAATTGTCACAGTTGCAGCCATTTCTCAAGATTCGAATCCAGCAACACCCAATGTTTCAACAAACATGGAAGAATTCTGAAAAGTTACTTATAACAGAGACCTCTAGTGCTGCACTTACGTTTACACATCTTTGAAAATCTGGAAATGGGCTGGTCAAGTGGATTACAGAGTAGGAAATCATGTTTCATTCTTGGCTTCTTTAAGTATTCCAGGGTCTTGGTTCAACACATGAAGTGTTGAATATTTAAAAAAAAAAATAGGAAAAGAAAACAAATATACTGGAAACAGAAAAGTATTTCCTCCATGCTCTTAGTTGTAGTTATTTGGAAATATATCACACAACCTTTAAAGAGAATCTCCCCCTCCTTTAACATCATCATGTGTTAACATGTTTAAAGAGAGACCTCACAAGTTTGCAGGCTGGACCTTCACTGGGCTTACTTTGTTTGGAAATACTTTGTTATAAATTCAGTCAGTAATAACTTACATGTATTTCTTTTTCTCTATAGCACAGAAAACAGATAGTTAGCTGATAATGCAGATAATAATGTATTTCCTTAGCTTGATATTTGGAAAAATCACTTCAAAATGGTTTTGGCCGTCTTTTCTAAATACTAAAAATTCTTCAAAAGTTAAATTAGGTAAGTTCCCAAACAGTAATCTGAGATGTACCTCAGATCTTTATTACCACTACATTATAGTAGTGTGTATGCAGACAATCAGTGAAACTCAATTACTGTCTCCACTTTGGAGACTTAGGAGGAACTTAGAGCTAAATCTTAGGTTAAATTTTAGATTTGAAACCTTAGGAAAATGCGGGGAAACAAAATTGATAGAACAGAACTCATGATAGCTTCAGAAAAATAAAATGAAGTTAACACAAGATGTTTTAAAGTTAGGATAACTGTGTTCCTAACCCTATGTTGAACTACAAAATTTCATTTTAAATGTTTATATTGGAAATATTTGCATAGATTCCAGATCTGTGTGAGTTCATATTCTGTAAATATGAGTTATGTTGACAATGTGCAGAATTCTTTATGTTTTGACTTGGTAGCCAAAGAAAGAATTATTATACTTTTTCAAGGCCATCAGAAAAGTATTTTCAGTACATCATAATTTTGTTTTCCTTTACTAAAAATTGGCCAATCCCATTTTATTTCTAGTACTGTGTTAGAAGGTTAATTAGGAATTTATATCACAGTGATGTCTTTATGTTGTATTGATAACAGAATTTTCCCTAAAAATCTAGACGGCCTAGCAAATATATAATAGATATGATATTATGAAGCAAAAATTATTTTTGGAAAACCAGAATATGTTTGAGTCAAATAGTGACTGAAAATATATTTCATTGTTTATGCAAGAATCTTAGAGAGAATGTCTTATTAGGAAAGGTGGCCAAACGTTTCATATGAAAAATAATTGGGTTATTCTAATAGATTAAAGATTAGTAAGACACTTCACGTTTTTCAAAAGTCTTTACACAGAGTCATAACTATTGAAATTGACCATTTGGAAACTAAAGTTTTTACCTACTTGATTTATTAATACCATTGGTTTGGGGACTGTTTGAATATGTTTTCTTGTGCATTCTTTATTGTTTCAGGAAAAGTACTACTCATGCGAATTCTCTTCCAAAATCGTGATGTTTCTTGTATTTTTGATGGAGAGATACTGTAATGATCACTGTTTACACTATGTACACTTTAGGCCAGCCCTTTGTAGCGTTATATAAAACTGAAGGCCTTTTGTGCTTTCAGTTTGTATAAAAAAGCTTTGAGATTAAAGGAAAAAAAATTTTTACACTGTGGTTATAAATTTCAAGTTTCTTAAAGCTTTTGTAGACTTGTAACAAAGTCTTTAAATTTTAGTTGGATTTTGTAAATTGTTTTGTATATTTTATTTAATGTACTCTGAACAACTGATGTATCTGGCTTTAAAACATCAGAATCAGTTTGTTTTGTTTGGTACAGAGGAGCATTTGGTAGTGTTAATTTTAATTTTATTATATAGAAGCTGAAACATCAAATATATATTTTATCTATCATGCTACACAATCAGTGCTATAAATTTTTTTATGCAAAGAAACTTTCTTAATGTTGTAATCATGTTTCCTCCAAGCGATGCTTTCTGTTGACACCAAGTATGAGCACTCTGCATCATTATTCCACGAGCCAGGTTCAATGCAAACCTATGTATGCTCATCAGAAGTAGAAGTTATTTTTAATCATCAATGAGGCCTATTAGCAATTTAGCAAATTGAATCTGGATAAGTTTGTAGTGCATAAAATAATGTGTTAGCAGGCACATTTCATCCCTGAAATTAGAAATATTTTGACAGTCTGTTCTGCATACCATTCTGAGTCCACTTTTCTGTCTTCTAACAATCGTAAATTTCAGTGTCCTTTATTTGACTCAGTGGGATATAGCTGTAATAGGGCACAGATGTGCAGTAGAGTCTTGTTTAATGGCAATTCACTGCTCATTCCCTTTGCCACCGTTATGAAACTTTTCTTTGTTGTAATTATCAGTGCAAAGCTATATATTTATCATGGTAGAACTCCAGTGTTAGAATAGTTTCTTCTCACAGTATACTTTCTTTGGTTAGGTTTGTGTATGTGTTGCTGATAACATTGGAACTTGATGTTAAGTCATTATTTATCACACTCATGAGAGCAGTAATAAAATGTGTAATCTAGGAGAAAAAGTTAATTTGTCAAACTTAGATAAGCATGGTGTTTAGGTCCTATTTTTCAATTTTATAACTGTTTTATTGCAACAATATTTGTATTTAAGTCTCCATTTTAATGCCTTGTGATGTTTTTTTTTATGCATGTCACTAAGTTGTCATCCCACATAAATTGATGTGCAGCATAGGGTATTAAATCTACATAATGATTTTAAAACAGAAATAGTTGATGGTAAAATGTAAATGTTTTGCAAAAATTCCTTATAAAAAGTTTCGTAGTAACATTTCACTTGTAAATTTTTTGTAAAAAAGAAAATGGGGGAAAAAAAGATGAATCCAGAAAAATACTTGTTTCCCATATCCTAGAATTTAGACAATTACTCTGCCAGCAAAGCCTCTGGGGCTGTAATTGACATTTTTACAGTGATGATTTGTATGAAATTTGTTTTTTGTGGATTTGGAAATAAAATCATGTACAAGTTGTTGCCTGCAATAACAATTGCAAGTAACCTATTAAAAATCCCCTTGGGTTTAACATGTTTCATTTATGTATACTATAAAGCAGCAATAAATTGTTTAAACTATCAGCCTTCTCACCACGATGAACACTGAAAAGTTGAATGCCTCTCACTAGAAAACATATTAGCAACCCTTTTTCTAAAAAAAATTATTTATTTAATAACCACATACTGAGAAGAAGCATTTCATTACAACAGCATTGACATATAGTCAATAACGATTTCCAGAGCTAAGATACATCTCTTTCAAAATTGGCTGTAAATTTTTAGGTTTACAGTTGAATTATTATTTATACAATATTGTACTCAGTATACACCCTATAAGACATAAAATTAAATGAGGTTTTAACTTTAAAAAAAAGGTTTCTATTTCATTATTAAAATACACAGTTTCAGCCGGCTGTGGTGGCGCACACTTTTAATCCCAGCACTCAGAAGGCAGAGGCAGGTGTATCTCTGTGAGTTCAAGGCCAGCCTGGTCTACATAGGTCCAGGACAGCTGGGGCTGCAGGGAGACCCTGTCTCAAAAAGACAAAAAATAAATAAATACACAGTTTCATACAGAAACATTCATTTTTAATGCAATTGACATTAAGATGTTTGCACATGCATTTCTAATCTCTATATATCTGATTATTACTAGTCACAGTCAGTTACTTTTTACTTTCTGTGGCATCTGAGCATGCATAGAAAGCTGTCAAGTAGATTTCAATGGTAATGTTTTTCACAGCTAGTTATTAAGGAGCAAATTTTTATGCTTTGAAGAATTATTTTTTTCTAATCATTTTTTTTTTTAGCAACCCTTCTTAATCCTGGTATTAAGAGCCAGTCAACATTTCTCTGAACATACCAACAAAGAATACCAATTTAAATTGCATGTTAAATTGTGAACATTGCTGTAGACATTTATGGAAATAAATTTTGATTTAGAGACACTTTTTACTTAAATATTTTTAGGCAATAATAAGCCAGAGCTGTCTTTCCCTTCTGACAGAGACGGGCACATTCCTGAAGAACCTGACTTACATAATGAATACATAGTGGTACAACTTCAGTGAATGTTATTTCTAGGCCTTCAGATATAGCAGTATAGCAGAATGCTAAGTGGAAAGAGAAACTGCCATGAGATTCAGGCGGTCTGTACATCTGTAGTAAGTAGGGTTGTGTGATGCATGGATACATAGCTTGTACAGCAAAGCCCTAAAAGCCCCAATGGCTATAACATATGTACACGCATTATGTCCTAACCATGGCTGAACCAAGAAACAGTTAAATTTATGCTACTTTGCCAAATAAGAAATAAATTTATCAAAAGATTTTCTGTCAAAAGTAAAGGTGTCGTCTTGACCCTACTTCTTAATTATGCATAGTTCTTATTCCTGCCCTAGATCCTCCTTTATTTAAACCTAAAATTCATGTCAGTCCCTCAGAGATGAACTCGGGGTCACTGGGCCTCTTCATCTGTTCCCTTACCAGTATGCACTGATTAAATTTCTACCTTTCGTCCCCCCCCCCAAGATATGTATTTCAATTACCTGAAAGATTTACATTTTTAACATCAGGGTAGCACTGCATAAAAGGAGATAATGAAACTCAAAGCCCGAAAATTTCTTTCTTTAATACAGCAGTGCTCTGGTTTTTGAACTAGGATTTGCAGCCACATGAACAAGAATGAATTTTTGAAATTCACTCTCGTAGTTACTACATGAACCTATTTGCTGTAATTAGGAAGGCTCAAACAGTGGATACAGCCACTCTCCTGTAATGTCTGGTTAGTTGCCATTTTTGAAGATGACTTTGAAGTCATGGAAAAATTGTTAGGTACAAACTTGTTTCTATTTAGAAGTTTGAGTGCTTAATTATAGGCAAGACTTAAGATGCCAGCAAGAAATGTGGAACTCTTTATTTCGCAATCAACTTAACAAATCGGGATTACTTTCCATGTAGTAATGCCCACATAATATACTCACAATCAATTTGCAATTGTGTAGCAGGTTTTTTTTTTTTTTTTTTTTTTTTTTTTTTTTTTTTTTGGTTTTTTTTTTTTTTTTTTTTTTTTTTTTTTTTTCATGTTTTTTTCCTTGAACTCACAGAGATCCACCTGCCTCTGCCTCCCGAGTGCTGGGATTAAAGGCGTGCGCCATCACTAAATCGAGTATTTCCAGTCTTCTAGGGTTTGTGGTTAGTGCAGCCCTGGGTGCTGCTCTTTGTAGCAGGTGGCAACAAAATAATTTAGTTATCTCAAGTGGAAAGAGTAGAAGGATACAAAGAAGGGAGAGAAGGAAAAGGAAGGAGCACAAAGACCTGTTTGTAATGCGGTCTGACTCCATGGTGATAGCAAAGCATTTGGAAAAAGAGCATCAACTGGGAGTCCCAGGTGTTCTGACTGGCCCCTGGTCCACTCATTATGTGCAAAAGGCTGGATAAATGATTCTGCATCTCTTCCTCACTTGCAAAATTGTTATTGATACCACATACCATTGATAAGTACAGCAAACACCTGATAAGTAGCAACAGTCCCAGTAGTTGACCTCATCTGTTAATTATAAGTTGACTTAAAGGGGTTATCTTATTTTCTCCAGGCTGTAATGCCAAAATAGCATGAACTGGGTAGCTTATAAACAGTAGAAATGTCTAAGGTCAGGGTTCAGTGTCTGGTGAGTTCCTGGTTCATGTGTTCCCTGGACAAGCTTCACGTGGTAGAAAGGGACAACGTAGCTTTCGGGGGGCCCTTTTCCAAGGTCAGTGCCATTCTGAGGACACTGCTTTTACGATTATGGAGATACCCTTTCTTCTATCACAGTGGTAATTAGATTTCAACATAGGAATTTGGGGTGGCACAAACATTCAGACCCAGCAGGGAGCAATGAAGAGTTCCCAAGACAGATGGTGAAATGCTTAGAAAAAGAGCAGCAATACCTTGAAACGTTAACTCAAAATTGCATGAAAAGAAAGGACATTTCAGTGGGTATTCCCTCATTTCAACCATGTTTTTCTCAATCTGCAAACCAGTTTGGGGTATTTTACCTCAAAATTTTATGATAGCAGTCTCTGAAGCACCCGGACCCTCGTGCCTGTAAGAACAGAACAGACTGTGAAGATCGCGAAGCACATTGAGACCACTTCTCCAGGGAGGAGCCAAAGCTCAGGCTACAGCCGGCCAAGCTGAGATGGCCAGGTTTAAAAGACAGAAAACTCATCTGGGAGCTGAGATCAAATTAGCAAAGTGCAGGAGGCAGGAAGAAATTAAAACTTGCACATTTGTCTCAAGCAACAGTTCATCTTTGAATCATATCTTTCTAGGTGGTTGGCTTGGTTTAAATTGTGTTATTTATTACCCTGCCATGAAATGAGGTCTAATACATATCTTATTTATAGTAGTATTTTTGTGATGTGGAAGCTATAATAAAGTTATATTTTCTGCTGGTAAAATTGTTCTAGCTTGTATAATTTTATGCTGGAATTAAATGCATGAGTAATTCACGGTGCTACGTAAAGGGCATTGTGATTTCTAAGTATCTGGTCACCTGACAAGTTTGAAAACCACTATTGAGGAAAATACTGTAAAGGCAAAGATGCTAACTTAAAAAAAAAGATTCTCATTCAATCCAATAACAGTGTAAATGGTTACACCTTTAACAACCATTTGATGTCTTCACAGCCTTCTTTACATTAGCTTATTCTTTGTGTGTTTGCTGGTGTGTTCTATTTCTAATGATGGTTTGTAAGAATTAGGTTTATGAATTACTGTGGTTTTGTATTAGCATTGCTTCCTCTTTAATTACATGGACAGAAAAATAACATTGTTTGAAAATTAAGTCCCATTTTGATGATCATATATTATTTAAAGAACCCAAGTTGTTCTATTATTGTTTCTTATTTGGCTTTGTTTTCCACAATATTGTGGATACTAATTTGTACTGAAAATCCGTGTAAGTATGTCCACTAATTAGTAGCTGGAAGTATTTTCCTCTTGTATCCAATTGTGAACAAAAACTTTAACTTAAGAAGAAATGAAAAAAGCAAACCTAGCAAATTTCTTGGAACTGATCATTTCGAGGATGAAAATCTTTTTCTGTATTTTTAGGAAAAGTGTGATCTTATAAAAGTGACAAATATTTATTTGATTAAACATGCTAATTTGAATCTATGGTCTTGGCAATTCTCTAAAGCATTAATATTAGGAGGAAAGAGGTAAATGAAGACCACCAGAGAATGGATCCAGCTAAGGTACTTCTCTTTTGCTCATGCATTGTTTCTAAGATTTTTTATTATTTATGAATTAAATATGTTCCAGCAAAATATGAAATGCCATTTAATTCTAGCATTCAGAATAATCCCGAAATGAGGTTTTAGAAAACACCAAATAACTGTCTCTTCAGCTGGAGAGCTGTGATATATTGGACTACAGTAACACATGTATTTCAGCAATCCAGAGGCCATCGTTTGTCTTTCACTTGACTTACCCAAGAGGTGAATGATTGCTGTTCTCAAGAGTCAGCAAAATCAAACTTTATGCAGCTTAGATATCAAACTAAGTTACCCCATTCCAAGTTCAATTTATTCCACTTAAAAGACTACAAAAGCAGGGCTGGAGAGATGGCTTAAGCAGTTAAGAGCACTGGTTTCTCTTGCAGAGGACCCAGGTTCAATTCCCAGCACCCACATGGCTGCTAACAACTGTCCAAAACTCCAGTTCCAGGGGATCTGAGGCAACCTTCTTATCTCTGTGAGCATTTGACACAGGTGCATGTACACACATGGAGGCAATACGCCCATACACATAAAAATAATAAAATAATTTTTTAAAAAAAAGAATATGAAAGCTATAGGTTCTGTTTTCCATAGGTATGGTCTGAATATTTCTGTCACTCCAAAATTAATGTTAGAACTCAGTCTTCAAGGTGATTTTATTAAGAGTGGAGCTTTTAGAGGTGGTGTACTGGGGGCTCTTGAGAGCTAGCTCCACCTTTTTGCCATATGAGTGCACATAGAGAAGTGCCATCTACCAACCAGAGAATGAGCCCTCACCAGACACCAGATCTGAAGGAGCCTTCACCTTGGACTTC